GCGGGGATGCCGAGGAGCTCGCCGAGGGCGCTGGAGGCGAGGAAGAGGAGGAAGAGGATGGCACGGGGCGGCGTGGGCACCAGTAGCATGACCAGCAACACAAAGTATGAGCCGTGTAGGGTGCAGGTGGAGATGGCACTTGGGCTCCGACCTGTGGGACAGGGAGCAAGAACCCGGTATTGCCACCCACCGGCACCCATCCGCCCTCCAGCACCCATCCCCGGCTCACCGGCTGGGTCAAGGACGGCGTGGAGGTGCTGCAGACTGTTCTCCAGCCGGCTCCGTGCACCTTCCACAGTCACCAGCATCAGCCCCAGGCTCCGGTTGACCCGCCGCAGCTTCTCCATCACCTCCTCCATCCGGCGCTGCTGGGCCAGGAGAAGGGCCAGGTCGCTCTCTGCACATGGAAGACATGGATACGGCATCAGGATGAGCCGGGGAAGCTGCACCCAGGGGCGTCCAGGTGCAAAAAGAGCTGGGAATGGGGTTTGCCGCGTTCCCACCTAGTTGGGAATAGACGTCCCGAGCTCTTTCCTGCGCGTGGTGGAGGTCGGACAGGACAACCCGGTGCCCTTCCTGGAGCCCCGCGGCCCCACGGCTGCTCACGTTCCCTGTAGGGAGGCACGAGAGGTTGGGTCGGTCCCCAGGGTGGGACACGGGGACGTAGCAGCATCCCAGCCGGTGGCTCTCACCCATCCGCCGGGCCCTCCCAGCCGGTGCCCCTCACCCATCCGCCGGGTGATGTCCTCCGTGAGCTGGGCCACCCGGTGCTGCCCGCTGGCGATGAGGGTCTCATCCAGTGCCGACCGCTGCAGGCTGTGGTGGACGGGGGTCTCCAGTCTTGGGCGCAGCCACCTGTCTGGCCGCTTCCACAGCTCTTCCTGACCCTCCTGGGGTAAATATTGGGGTGATGGGGATGGGGGGTGGCCCCACAGCCCCCCACAAACCATCACCCCACAGCGATGCCCACCACCACCTACCAGGTGGATGCTGGCTCTCCCCATGGGCACCCCCTCAGCATCCTGAAATGAGCCCCCAGTGTTTAATCTCCATCCCACGGTGCTGGAGAAAGGCTTCGGAAAAGCCTTCGGAAGCGAGAGCGGGGGGGGGCGGGAAGGGGATAAGGAGCGGAAACCCCCATCTGC